GTTACTTGCTTCTACAGCTCTGTTTCGGACGACTGTTGTGCTTTTGCTTTCAGAGTGGTTGCTCAGTGGGTGTCTCTTTTTTTTTTGTCATGTTTATTTTCTGTGATGGAAGCCGGGTTCGGCATCCAAACCTGGCAGGCATTGGTAGGGCTCGGAAAGGCGCCGGTTGCTTGGGACGTTGCAATTCAGAGTTTGCTTCTGCGAGGTTAATGACGTTGTTCCGAGGATAGCCCATCTCAGGGCCAGGCCAGACTGACTAGAGAGGGAAACAAGCATGAATCTAGGCCCCTAGGGACCAAGGCCATCCGTTGCAAGGACTTTTCTCGCCGTTTCCGTTTCCCATGATTTCAGGGGCAAGATCGGAGGGATCAAACGTGGAGACATGGACAGAGAAATTAAAATAAAGAAAAGAGCTGTGCCGAGAAGGCCAGCTCGGGTCGGGTCAGGTCCCCTCCCCAAGCCCAGACAGAGCTCGCAAACGGTCGGGATGTTGATGTGCAGATGTGCTTTCCTCCGAAGAGCAATAAAAGGGGGGTGTGGTCTGGGACGGGCCGAGATCAAGACACGGGAGACGTGGACCACGTGGAGAGCGAACGGGAGGGGACGGCGGATGCATCTGGATCATCATCAGTTGAGGACTGGCGGGCTGCTGCTGTGCACTCGGGTCTACTTGCCCGGGGTGGTTGGTTACCTGTTTACCTACATGTAGGTACATGGACGATGCCGCTCAAAAACGACGTGTGATGCCCGAGCGAGCATAAACATGAGGTGGTCCTTGGCTCCCCTCCTCTGCGGGAGACAATGACAAAAAAAGTCAATGATGCTCGATGCGTCTTTTCCCACCAATAGAGAGAAAAAAAGCTCGGTTCCAATTTGCTCCCCGATCAAGAAAAGAATCATGTCTCCCAAAGCATTGCGCCAACTTCCTTTGCCCTCCGCGGGCAAAAAAACGCTAACCTCGGAATCGTCAGAACTCGACTTGAGAGAAAGAAGAAGGAAGAAAGAAAAAAAAAGAAAAGAAAAAAAAAAGAAAAGAAAAAAAAAGAAAGAAAAAAAAAGAAAGAAAAAGGAAAGAAGAAAAGCCCTTACCCAAGATGAAATGCCCAAAACGCCTTTTTTGCACGGTTGCCACGCTCGCAGCATCATAATAGCGAGTCGCTGCCCGAGGCCATGCTCTGCTCAAGGGCGTCGCGTATGGCGCCCTCCTCAAAGACGGGCCCCTGGCCGTCGCACTTGGCGCGGCCCTTGAGGCGGTTGCTAATGTCTGCAATGTCGAGGCGGTTGGCCTTGAAGAGGTCGTGGTTGATTATGTACTCCCACGTGGCGCTCGCGTCGTAGAGGCGCTCGCCCGAGTCGCTCAGCACGATGCGGTGGTTGAGCGTCTTGTTGTCGTGGCCCGCGAGCAGGTCCGAGTAAAAGTCGGTCGGGTTGTACGTCATGGGGCCCGTCGTTAGTTGGGCCGTCGAGGTGGAATCGTTGCCGCCGCCCAAAGAGCCGCCGCCGCCGCCCCCCCTCCCGGAGCTGCCGTTTGGGCTGCCGGCCCCGGACAGCGACGACGTCGCCCGTAGTATCTCGTTCTCGGTGCTGACCTTTTGCAGGTCCCGCTTGAGTCTTTCGTTTTCGGTTGTTGCCTGCTGCTGGGCCGCCTCGAGCGACGCGAGCTTGGCCTCGAGGTCCTTGACGTGACGCTCCTTGCGCTCGCGGAATGCTCGTTGACTGCAGGGGTGGGCGCACGTGATGGGTTAGTCGATGCCCGAGAAGAGGTTTTCCTTTGCCTCTTCCTTTGCCTCTTCCTTTGCCTCTTCCTCTTCCTCTGCCTCTTCCTCCCCTCCTCGTCCCGTCCCCCCTCTCCCGTCCCCCCCTCTCCCATCCCCCCCTCAGTCCATCCGCATTGGCGGCGGATGCCGGGCGCTGCAGTGCATGCACGGTTATGGCGCGCTAATGTCGCATCGGAAATTGGTCCGTGACACCACCCTCGGGAATAGAAGAGGGGCAGACGGGATGGCGTATGACAAGACTGTGGGGAGCCGCCCCCCCCGTGTGGCACCGACAAGGAGAGAGAGGGGGGGAATATGTATACCCAGGGGAGGGAGGGATGGAAAGAGAAAACAAAGGGTTTGGTGGTACGTACGCAGCTCGGTTCTGTGCCTTGCGCTTGTGCTGGGTCGGCGTCAGCTTGTCCCCCTCCTCGCCCGACTGCGACCCTCCCCTCCGGCTGTTGGCCAGCTGCTCGTCCAGCAACTCCTCCTTGGGCAGCACCCCGCCGGGCGCCGCCGCCTGGTGCTGCGGCGGCACGGCCCCGCCGTTGAGTACCTGGGCGGCGTGGGCGTGCGACGCGTGCAGGGCGTTGTTGTTGGGCGGCGTCGGCGGGCCGGCGACGGGGAAGACGCCGCCCCCCGGGGCGGGCTGGTGGTGCTGCTGGTCGGGGAGGCCGTGGCTGAAGCCCGAAGGGTAGCCGTCGAAATTTGCCGCGTACTGGTCGTTTGGGTACTCGGAGTAGACGTCCTGGACGAGGAGGGGGGTTTTGCAGTCTGAGTAAGCAACCAATTCTGCTGGGCGCACACCAAGGTCTTTGAGGTCTTTTGACAGTAGCAACATGATGATCAAGCACGTACTGGAGGTGAGGTCGTGTTGAAATCTTCAGACGGCCCCGAGGTGGAATGTGACGGCGTCAAGGGCGGCATGCCGATGAACTGGTATGGCTGGGCGCCCGGGAAGTAGGTGGCCTGCGAGTAATCCATGATGGGCAACGCAGGGGGAGTGAGTCTTGGGGAGTGAGTCTCGGGGATGAGTCTCGGGGATGAGTTTCGGGGAGTGAGTCGCAGGGACCAAGTCTCGGGTCTCGGGTTCAGGGCGTCTTGTCGTCGTCGTCGGGAGTCTCGTGCTGGTGATGCCGTATTAAAGCAGTGTAGGCATCTAGCCAAGGTGGTTGGAATGGAAGGGAATTGCTGCCGGCGCGGGACCTTGGGTGGTGGTGGTTCGGGGTTGACAGTCCTGGTCTCGCTTCGCGCCGCGTTCAGTGCTTTTCTGTGTGCAAGCAAACAGACCAAGTGCCGGGGCAGGGAGAGAGAGAGACTGGAGCAGCAGCGAGTGGAGCAGCGGGCTTTTGAATGCATGTCGGAGGTGGTGTCGGACTGGGGCTGGATATGGATGTGTGCATGGGTATGTGAGCATGGGTATGTGAGCATGGGTATGTGTGCATGGGTATGAATGGGATGGGATGCATCTCCATGCTCTGTTGCTGCTTCAGGTGGAGGGGGCGTGTGGCCAGGCCAGCCAGCGCCCTCTGCAGATGACGCACGGGCAGTGCAAGGTGGGAGCACAGGCCCTACCTAGGGGTGTCTGAGCCAAGGCACGCCCGGATCAAAAAAAAAAAAGGGACACTTTTCAATCGGTGGTGGTATGCACTGGGGCAAAAATTGAAAAGTGTCTCGTTTTTTTTTGATCCGGGCGTGCAAGGGCCAGGCTCGAGCCAGGACTAGACAGGCCCCCGCCTGCCGGGAAGGGACGGTGCAGGTGGGACAGTCAGACAGTCAGCCGGCACACAGCCAGCACACACAGAAACCTGGCCTTTTTCGTCATCCCGGTCGGTCGGTGAGCTGCTCTGCTCGACTTGCCCGACTCAAACAAGGTTTGCAAAAGAAAGGAGAAAGGAAACATTTGTCGATCACTTGCCGATTGGCCCCCGCCCTGTCTCCCGTCTCCATCACCAGCGACCCTGCTTGCCTCTCAACTCTCAAACTCTATCGTTTTCCATGTACACATCAAGTCGTGATGGCGGCTGTTGAAAGGGCTCAATCTTGCTAGCACCGTGGGCGCATTTTCCGTAGGGTCGGGCCGGCTGGCCTCTGCGTGCGCGGGATGCGATGGCTTGGCTGGGCATGTACAACTAGAATTAGATGGACGTACTTTTTCAAACATTAATTTTATTACTCTCACTGAGCCAGGCAGCCCTTTGAGGCCTGCCCTCGTTGTGCCCGAAGCTGCATTTTTTTCACGCCGACCACCCGTCCCGATTGTGACTCGGGGTGTATCATCTCTTCTCTTCCTCGTCATCATCACGTCGTCTTTGTAGGCCGAGAACGGTTGGCCGTCGGGCAGCTGTCGGGGTGCCGGCATGCGTTGCCACTGGCGCCGGACGGTCTCGTCGAACGAAGGGGGCAGACACCATGGCCGTGTGCGCCCATTCGCTCGTACTTGCGCCTTGTTCGCCGCGAGAAAGGCAGAGAGAGAGTCCCCTCCTTACCGTCGTCGTCGTCGTCGTCGAGCCCTCGGTTGCTCCATTGTGATTTGCGAAAGCTCCCACCACCGCGCGAGCTTGCCTCGAAAAGACCGTCCTCATCTCTCCGGCCCCGGTCTCTGTCCGCCGTGCCCAGGCGGAATTTATCCACCTTTTCGATGTAGCCCGGGGACGCAAAGTCGCGGTGGGGCACGATGACCTTGAACTGCAAGAGGTCCGTGATGTTGAGAATGGGGGTGTGTGTGCCCTTGGCAATGCTGGGGCCGATCAGGGGGGCCAGTCGAAACCAGACAGCCGCTCTCCCGGCTCTCCGTTGTAGGTGACCTTTGTCCCGCCCGTGGAGCCGAGGTTTCTCGCGATCGGCATGTTCGTCTCGTCCAAGGTGAAGGCGAGATGGGATCTTGCTTGACGACCGGGGATGTTCTGGAAGACCAGGTCGACGTGCCCGGCGCGTCCGCCCACGACGCCAATGCTGGTCCTGGCGCCATGGCTGAACCTCAGCACGAGGCAGTCGGTGTTCTCGAGAAGCCCGTACTCTTCCGGAAGCTCCGTCCCCTCTCTCTCGTGCCGAGGGGTGACGATGCTGCTGTGTGGCTTGGCCATGTTGTTGTTGTGGCGGGCTTCCACGACTCGCGACTTATTCTCGGGCATGGACGTCGCAAAAGCTGCGCCCTCAAACCCCTCGCCCTTGTGCGGTAGCAGGAACAGAATAACATCGTCGAGGTCGGTGCTGTCCATCGGGGCAACACACGGTGGTGTGCCAATCAATCAATATGTTTTGTCTAGTATGGAAGCTGACCACCTACTTCTTTTCCCCCGAACCATGCGCTTGAATGAAGTCTTTCAGAACATCCCGGGCTCCTAGGATGCACAACAGGCCGTCTTGGTCAACCCTCGACGCCACGCGAACCGCACAACTCTCGGTTTTCCGAAGGCTTCGACCAGTACGTGTGTTGTATTAGTCGGCATGATTGGGAGCTGACTGGTCCACCTGGCTGAACTGATCCCTGCACGCTACATTTGGCTGGCTCTCCCTGGCCGAGAATATTTTCTTCCCCCACACAATAACCATACGTGTACAAGGGTGTCAAACAAGTGTGGGTCCCCCGCGGGGTCCAAAGTGGAGCGGAAGGCGGATAGCCCCAAGCGGCAACCCCTGCTAGCATAAGCGATTCAGGAGCTACATCGAAACGGGCTGTTGTGAGGAAGAACAAGGGCGGCAGCACTCGTCGCAAAGCGCGGAGCGAGTTGAGCAAAGATTTCATCACGACGAGGAAGAAGGCACGTATGAGATACAAAAGAGTGTATTGCAATGTGGTCACGAACCACTATATAGCCAAGGCTAGCTACTGCCCGTAATAAAGACCCTTTTGTCCGTCGAATCATTCTTTGACCTCGATGGAGAGAGTGAACAGCAATGACGTTGTGCCCATGCCGGTGGTCCTTGATGAAGGCGAGCAGGGCCCTTGATGAAGGCGAGCAGGGCCCTTGATGTGGCCGGCGTGAGAACCCTGGGAGCCTGACCTGCTTCTCAATGGGGAGGGGAGAAGGCCGTTGTACTACCTGTGCGAGACAAACACTTGGAGTTAGTATGTGCTTTTGGGGGTGGTAACTTGGCTGGCGGGTCGTTTGCAGGTGGTGGCTGCAACTCACTTCTCGGGGGAAAGGACCAAGTCCTCCTCCTTTTCCGTAAGATCGGGGTCCGTGTCGGGGATAACGCTGGCGTCAACGATACTATCCATCAGCGAAGGATAGACGGAGGCGATGGCGGCGGTGGTGCCGATAACGGCGAGAAGGGCGACAGCGACCATAGTGCTGACAAAGACGACAGCGGCGGCAATGGTGCAAAAGCCGCAAGAGGGGGTGGCCATGTCGGTGGCCATGTCGGTGGCCATGTCGCAAACGGGGGTGGCCATGTTTTTGGTTATGAGTGGAGCGTGTGCTTGGTGGATAAGTCTGGTGTCCGTGAAGTCTGGTGTCCGATGCTGAAGAGAAGAGATGTCCGGTGCTGAAGAGAGAAGAGATGTCCGATTCTGAAGAGAGAAGAGATGTCCGATGCTGAAGAGAGAAGAAACATCCGACTGGCGATGGGCTCGGAGAAGAGACACAGGGAGATATAAATCCCCACGCCAACATTAGGGGCGCCGTATGTCATCGTCCTGCCATGTTGGGATATGACGGCATGTGTTGTCGCCAGGTTGTGTGCTCTTGGTGGCCCCCGTCTAAACACACGATCTTGAGCCCAATTAGCGCTTTTGTTAGTTCCCGATATCAGAGTCCCGTATATTGACTTTACCCTAGAAGTCTAGACCCGCGCGGAGCCGCCAGAGTTGGCCACGGACGACAGCACCGTCTCTCCTCGTATGTGTTCTCCCTTGCTCACAAGGTTTGATCGAGTATGGGGCGGATGGCAAGTCGCCTTCGACGGACAGATGTTTGAGCGTCACCCCTTGTGCAAAGAATCCCTCGGCAAGTGAGGCCCGGACACTGATCGCCACGAAAAAAAAAAGGATGAACTCTAAGCTCTTTGTGGAAGCTATTGTCTTGACGCCAAAGCCCCGGCAGTGACTGCAAACCCCTTTCTTTCTGCCGGAAGGGCGTGCAGGAGCGCGGGAGGTAGGTTGCGCCGCGGCGTCTCTCGCGCCGCCGCCGCCTCGGTTCATGACGGTAGTGGCACTGCAGATCGAAGATGGGCCACGGCCCGGTTCATTCGACAACCCCCTGGCATGCGGCCTGCGCTGAACCCCGCAGATCCTTCCTAATTAGGCTACGTAGCCTACTGACCAGACCCACAGCCCCCCAGCTGAGCGAGGGTACAACCTTTACCTCCATCTGCGGGCTGCTGAGAAGGCTGGCACGAGGACTGACAAGGTCGATCGGGCTTGGGCAAGACGCTGTTGATCGTCATGTACGAAAATGGAAATGTGTGGCAATGTACCGTCCATCTGCAAGCAGCATCAGGTAATGCTTGTTTTTACTCTAGCAACTCCTTACAACAATATGCATCTCCTCCTCGATTCCAAGCCCGTGAATTCCACCTTGACCGGCGGCGGGGGTACTCGGGGCTCCACGTCCGACCGCGGGCTCCCGGCATGCGTCCGTGGTGGACTTGGCCGATGTGGGCTCCCTCCCTAATGCTCGCACTCTGCCGCCCCAACGCGCCGTGCGGGGAACCCCTCATGCTGCTCGAGGTCGATGGGCTGCTCTGCGAGGTGCACGTCTCGGCCGGCCGCTCTGTTGCGACCCCGCCGCGTCTGCGGCCGCGTTGCGGTGCATCTTGGCCGGCCGCTCCTCGGCCTGTTCCTCCTCCTCCGTGTCCGTATCTCTCGTCGCGGTTCGGATAGGCGGCTGGCCTACCGCAAGGACGCGCTTGAGTCGGAGGTGGAGCTCCTTGGCGAATTTTTCGTCGTACTCTGCTAGGCAACGGCCCATTGGGCTGCCGTACGGTGTAATAAGGAAAGCGCCTTGCGTGGCCACGACATTATACTTGTCCTGCTCGTTGCAGTTTTGTCAGCAAGGCCGCGCGACAACCCACAACGGCGGGGAAAGCATGGAAATCAAGGCTTACAAAAATGTATGGGTTTTGATAGTTGCTGTTGCCGTTGCCGTCGCCGTTGCCGTTCTTTTGGGGCGCCATGTCCAGCCGTGTCGTGGCTGTGGGTGGAATTGGTTGTTGTCGAGATGTTGGATTGTTGGCGGATGTGGGGCGGGGGGAGCGCCCTGTATATAGTATATACGGGGAAGTCTGGACGCGCCTGGCGAGTGTGCGTGCACGGTTTTTTGGTTGGGATTTGCGGCATGTGATTAGATCTAGATCTCGCCACACCTCTGGAACGCCAAACATCAACTCAATTTTTACTAGCTCTGGCTACCTAAACCTTACACCCTCGCCGGACAGGTCGCTGTTCGTATCTGTGCTCTCGGGCGGCCCTTTTGACTTGGGGGCTCCGAAGGCAGCAACAGTCCCCAAGCTTCGTGTTGGAGAGCCTCATCGAGTGCGGGAACCTCATGCTGCTCGAGGTCGTTGCGCTGCTCCGCGAGGTGCACGTCTCGGCCGGACGCTCTGTTGCGACCCTGCGTCTGCGGCTGCGTTACGGTGCATCTTGGCCGGCCGCTCCTCCTCTGTGTCCGTATCTCTCTGGCGCTTCCTCACCGTTATTGCCTTCTTCCTAGCGCCTGTCGGAGCCTGCGACCAAAAAGGGCCACCTATCGCATCAGAGCTGGGCGTTGGCGCCTCGAGCGTCGATAGGGACGGAGCTGGAAGGTAGGAAGGTGGGTTTGGCCGTCTCTAGTGTGTCTGCGCTTTGTGCGGCGGCGTATCTTGGCTGGCCGCTCCTTGGCCTGTTTCTCCTCTGCGTCTATATCTCTCTGGCGCCTCTTTCCCGCCGTTGCCTTCCTCCTCGCGCTGTCGGGGTCTCCGACCAAAGGGGCCACCTGTGGCATCAGAGCTGGACGCTGGCGCCCCGAGCGTCGATGGGGATGGAGCCAGAAGGCAGGAAGGTGGGATGGCCGTCTCTAGTGCGTCTGCGCTTGTGCGGCGGCGCATCTTGGCCGGCCGCTCCTCGGCCTATTCCTCCTCTGCGTCCGTGTCTTTCTGGCGCTTCCTCCCCTGCTGTTGCATTCTTCCCAGTACTGCCGGCCTGTGCGACCGAAGGACGGCCCGCAGGCGGGATGGTATCTGCGGAATTGGGCGTTTCAAGTGTAGATGAGGACGGGGTCAGGGGCCGGGAAGGCGGCTTGGCCGTCGCTGGTGCGGCGAGACCTCGCTGGGGGTCAACTTTGGCCGGAGAACCATCATCATCGTCGTCGTCGTCATCGTCGGCGCTGCACTCTTCCAGAAACGCTTGCCACCGCTTCCGGCTTCTTATGTCGTACTCCGCCCGGACCTCGGGCGGCGTGTGGCCGCTGAGCGATTCCTCGGCGGCGCGTTTTCCATACTTCACGGCTCGGCCAGGCTGGACTACCGTAAGCTGGGATTTAAGTCGGATGTAAAGCTTTTTGGCGAATTTTTCGTCGTGCCCTGCTGGGCTAGGGTGCACTGGGCTGCCATACGGTGTAACAAGGAAGGCGCCTTGCGTGGCCACGATATCAAACACGTCCTGCTCGTCGCAGTCTTGTCAGCAAGGCCGCGCGACAACCCACAACGGCGGGGAAAGCATGAAAATCAGGGCTTACAACACTGTATGGGTTTTGATAGTTGCTGTTGCCGTTGCCGTTGCCGTTGCCGTTCTTTTGGGACGCCATGTCCAGCCGTGTTATGGCTGTAGGTGGAACTGGTGTGTCGAAATGTTGGATTGAAAATAGCGTTGGTGCATGCGTGGCGGGGAAGCGCCCTGTATTTACGGCAAGTCCATTCCGCCTCTGCCGAGCGGGTTGGCCAGGGTCCATGGCCCAATAATGCGCGTGCTAACTTGCGGAGTCGGCATCTCAAAGTCGATAAGCTGCGGGCAGTTCATGATCCTGGTCTGGTAATCTGCCCGTTCCCGCGTAAAGCCGTCCGTTGCAGCGTAGCTCGTGTATTGGAAAACGTACTCGAGCTTGTCGAAGCGGATATTCATGTTGTGCTGGTTGAGGGCGTGCAGACGGCGCGTAACGGCGGTCCCGTTGACCGTGAGCACGGTGTGCTGGGAATTTGAGGTGCCTGCAACGTAGAAGGCCCGGTTCTCGGGGTCAAAGTTGAAGCGCGCGTGCAGGCTCCGGAGCTGGACACGGTGCTTTTTAGCAAAGGCAAGGGTGCAGAGGAGCAGATCGGCAGAGTCCCGCCGCGGCAGCGGGCTTTTGCCCGCCGCCCACCCCAGACTAGAGTCGGGCGGCTGGAGCTGGCAGCTGAAGGTGTAGCAGCCGGTCCAGATCATGCCGAGCCGCCGCAGCTCGGCGTGCTCGTCGCTGCCGCTCGGGGCCTCGGTCAGGCTGTCGCTGGTGTATCCCTCGCCTTCGTTGCGCCGGCGCTCCACCTCGCGTTGGAGCTGGCGCACATTGTCATCGTACTCTTGCACAAGGCTCACGCTCATATATATATATATATATATATATATATATATATATCGGACGGCGGGAGAGTCGCCGGCCTGGGCAGACTGGCGTCCGCCGTTGAGGTTGTCAAATGTGTCGCTCAATGCCAGCTTGGCAAAGAGCATTCGCAGGCGTCAGAGTGCCAAAGACGCCCTCGCGCAGCATAGGGTCGTAGGCGACGTCCATTGTCGTAGTGTAGTTCGAGAAGGTTATTAATGCGCCGAGGAGCAACTTGGTGAGACGGTGCCGGTTAGCGGCGCGGACCGTGCGCCCTTTGCAAAAGACGTCGCGGGCCATTGCGGCAGTCGTCCTAGCTTTCCGGCCCAAGGGGGGGGGACAGGGACATTGGCGCCCAAGAGGCCCAGCGTGTACCTCGGTGATTCGCCAGCCGCTAGTTCCGCATCGGCTAGCTGAGGGGTTGCATTCGCACCTGCATGCTCCTTGTCCACAAGCAAGGTCCTGCGCCGTGTTGACGGCAGATACTACGCAATAGCCAGTGTGATGACAAGGACGCGGAGGCACTAGAAGGCACTTAGATGGGGTGGGGGGGCTTACCTCCCCAATGCGCTCATGCTGCCGCCGTCGGAGTTGTTCCTCCCCCCCATATCTTACGTATCGTCTGCTCAAAGTTACCTGCCCCATCGACCTCGATGAGCCCACTAGACTCGAAATAGCGTCGCTTCTCGGCCAGAAACGAGGCAAAGTTGTCTACGCTAGCAATGTCAGCTCCTCGACGGACCCGCTGTCTCTTCTGAAACTCCTTCCAGCGCGTGAGCTGTCGTGAGAACACCCCCCCCCCCCAGATTGTCCGGGACTCAGAGCCGTCACATCTCCCCGAGCCACTGCCTCAATATGTCCTCGTGCGCTTTCGGGTTCTTGTAAACATCGTCTAGGGGTCTCCAGCAAACACGCTGGTTTGCCGCCGCGTGGCGACAAGCTCGTGGTAACAACGAGTCTGGTGCTCCTTGGCCATACCTGGCTGTGGGGAGAGGTGATAACCGACCTCGCTAATGGTGATGACGGCTGGGCAACGGCGAAATCTCGTGTCGCAGGGACCTCGGCCGCCTACTCGAGCTTGGCCACAAGCGCAGGGGAATCTAGGGTTTGCGGGGCATAAACCTGTGGGGCCGCGTCGCTATATATCCCGGGTTAGCAACTAAAGTCAAAAGGGGGGATCGGGCGCCTTACATCAGTTTCTCCTAGAGCCTCGTTCGGGTAGGCTCGGGCGCGTGGTCCCGTCTGTGATGTTGGAAACATCGAGCATACCCCGGGCATCTCGATTGTTTTTCATGAGCCCGACGAGCGCCGGCTTGTCCAAGGCAAGAATTTGATCCACGGAATTCCGAGAGGCCATCGGCGCATAGTTTGTCGAGACACACGGCGTGCTTAGTCGCGATTTTGGTGTGGTGTGCGCATGTGCAATAGTGAAGCTCGAGAGTGGCGCACCGAAGTGCAGGATGCCTAGACCCAACACCAGCCCAGCCCCACCCACACTTCAGCCTCATTTAATCCCCGGTTGCCATTTCTGGTTCCCAGCACCTCGGGTTACGTCACGCGTTGGAAACTCTAGGTGTCTGCCTTGTAGTTACTTCATTCGCGGCAACTATCATCAGGGCTATTTAATACTATACGGAACAACATGTATCGAAAGCGGCGTTCCCGGTTCGGAATGATAGACCAGATCCCCAGCCAGACCTCTCCACTGATGCTAACAAAGACTGGGTGTTTATCGCCTTTCCGAGGATAGGTATCCTGCTCCACAGCCCCTGAGAACAGCTCGGCAGCTACGTCGCCGTCCAGAACCCTTTTTCGGGCTCATAATGGCCGCCTTGGTTCCCCCTTCCTGGATGCTTGAGTTCAAGTCAGCGTGATACACAGAAGCGGCAAGGTCAGTAAGTTTAGTAAGTCGGACTCACAATTTTCTCTTTTTGTGGCACTGCGCCCGAGGTACTCCCATTTGGCGTCGAGAACGTAGTCAAAGAGCTCATCCGAGACCCGAACAACCATTGCCTCTTGCAGGAATGGGTAGCCGACATGGCAGCGCTGTCCAAGCTTCATTTTGGCCGAGGTCACGGCTGCTTTCGCCTCCGTGCCCGACAGTGTGACTACCATGCTCTCGTTGCGGCTTTCCTGCTGGAAAACGTCAACGCTGTGGAAACCCAGTATCGCCAAGTAAAGCAGCGTGGCAAAACTGGGGAAGCCGGCCAGTGCCGACTTATTTAGGAACGCACCGTCCGTTAGGCCGTAAAGGAAATCCAGGCTTTTAATTAGGGGATAACGCATCGGCAGTGAAGAAGATGTGGGAAAATGCTTGGAAACGACGAAAGGTATACGAAATTTAAATTCGGGGAGTATGTAAACTTGAAGGCCACGCCGAAGCCGTTGCGCGCCTTTTCGTCGTCGGCGAAAAAGTCGTTTTTGGTGGCCATGGCGTCGAGTAACCGGCGCTCGTCCGTTCATATCGAGCATAAAGTTTCGCGGATAAAAGTCGATGATAGGGGAATCGGCTTGTGTCATAAGCGGCCAGTACACCGTCGGGACGATCTTTTTACTCGGATCGGGCAAAACGCCCATGAGCTGCTCAAACGGCTTGAACGGCTGCCCAAGCTTGAAGTTCATGTCGGCGTTCAGGCCCTTCATAACGTCCGAGATCATAGGTGAGTAGTGGTGTTTGTACACCAGGAACCACGAATAGCGATAGAGTTGACGGGCTCCGATCTTGGGCCGGGCCGGGGGATTGGGGCGTCACGGTCCTTGGCTCGGTGTTTGAGTCTTGGTCGCCGGAGAATTGAAAAGTATCGCCGATGTGAGAATTGGCAAAGAGAGAAGCCTCAGGGTCGGACGGCATACGTAACACGGCGTTCACCCCTCGGGACGCTGAAGGAGAAGGTGCATCCGACCTATATAGTTCTCTCACAGACGCAGTCACCTGCGAATTCTCGGGCGATGCGGGTGTGATCGGGTCGCGGAATGGTTTGTCGTCCATTCTGGGGTCGGCAGTCATGCCGCCGGTGCCACCGTCGACAATGATACGAGGCGGCCTGGCATCCTGGTACCGCCCTTCGGGGCGGATCGTTGTCGCTTCTGTATCGTCCTCTCCCTGCCGACCATCTCCCTTGTCCTCGTCATCGCCATGGCCCTCAATGGAAGCGCGTACTGGAGCTCTGGTTCTCCCAGGTATCTCGCGTGCCCTCGGGCAACAACATCGACCTGTCGTGGCATGCCCGGGCATCCGCACGAATCTCTGACTTCATACATGACATTGCGTCCAAGAGCATGGAAGCCAGCGGGTCCTGCTTCTCCTTGAAGTGGTTTCCGACCCGGCCCACGTATGTCATCGCACCAGAGTTTGCCGTCTTGGTTGTGTTTGACCATGCGTTTTGGAAGCCGCACAGCAGCTCGGAAATCACTGCGCCCAGGAACCAGATGTCGACAGCCTTGGTGTATTTTTTAGTGCTCCATTGCCCCTTGGAAGGGTCCTCGCCGAAGAACTCTGGTGGGTACAAGTACGGCGATCCGATGATGGCATTCAAATCCAGCCCTTCCTTCGAGACTCCCAATTCCCCAAGCTTGACTTCAATCGAATGAGGACTGCGATGTGCGATGAGGATGTTTCCGTCACTTATATCGCGGTGTGTGATTGCTAGGTCGAGCTCGTGGAGGTAGGCTACCGCCGATGAAATCTGCCTCGTGATGCAAACGCACTCGAAACCCGACAAGTACTTTCTTGCTTACAGGTGTTGCCGAACTGACCCGCCGGCAAGGTATTCGAACCGTAACAGAGGGGGGTTGGACCAGACTCAAAGCCGAGAAACTTGCCGATATAGGCCTTCGTAGACTGTCAGATAATGAGACAAACGTGAGATAGGAGTGCATACTCACATGAGAGACCCGGCCCCATAAGTTTACTTTCATTCGTCTATGCCTTGAGATGCGGCCGCGCTGCCGCTGGGCCGCTGCTCCCCCGTGGGGTCCGGCCCAGAGGGCTCCGGGGACGCCATCCTGGCTGGGATCGTACACTCGGCGTTCGAGCCGGCCGACGAGGCGGTCGGGGTGTGTTGTTGTTGTTGCTGCTGCTGCTGCTGCCTAACAGCCGTCGGTGCGCCTCCACTGCAGATGCCACCATTAGCCCTTCCCGAGGCTCCTTAGGGGCGTATGTCTCCCGCGTCATGGCGTTCCAAACACGGTAGACGACTGCAAAGCCTCCCTCGCCGAGCTTTCTCTTCAAGAACACGCCATCGCTGACGGGAGTGTGTATCTCGGTGGGTAGTCGCGTTAGGGCCCGTTTGATGCCAAGATGCTCGCTCAGAGGGGTCGAGGCCCGTAACCCCTTGGCACTCCGGGCGGAAGGGAAAAAATTAAGGGAATTGGGCCTCTGGAAGGTATCCACGTGAGCGAGCACGCGCCGCGGAACTGCCCCGTGCCACAAGACGCCACACCATCTTTTCTTCCGCATCGCGTTGTCCGTCGCCTTGGCGCCTGTCTCCCTTTGTCCTCGCCATAGAAAGAGTCTTTTGTCGATAGCATTAATTGAACCTTGGCTGCGAAGCGCACAGCCAGAGATAAACCCTGCCGATAAACGCGTTTTACACCACACCAATTCGACGCAACAACTTTTACCATGTTGAAACCTACCTACCCTGCACCGAGAGGAGCAACGCGAAGTAAGCTCTTGGAGCGTAGGAAATATGTAAATGGGAATTGTTCATAAAACAGCATCCTCACTCCTATGCATCTCACAGCCCACGCCGGCCCACCAAGAAAACCCCCGGTAATTGCGAAAAACGGAGCTGGAGCGCATATCGCTCTCCTACGCCGCTAAAAAAAAAAAGGCCATGCAGAAATTGTCCACGCAGACCAGCGTCGGAACCGGTACGTTATAGGCCGCGTGGGCCGCTTTGACAGGGCTATAAGTCCTGGGTCCAAACATGGATATTTCCGGCAAATCCGTTAGGTTATCTGGATCATGTCTGATGTCCTGGGAGAAGAAGTCCTGGGGAGAAACGATGAATGTGTTTTCTGGTTTCCCCCCTCAGGTTGTGCAGTCCATGTCAAACATGACCGAGGTTCAAAGGTGATCTGTGAACCCTTTACAGATCACGGAGCACAGGGTTGATCTGTGATCCCTCCACAGGTTACAAATCACAGGCTCCCGGCCCAAAGGTTAGTGCACCATGCCAGGGTATATAAGAGGAGGATCTCCTACTGTCCTAAATAGTTCTTGATAAATACCTTGTAAATCCCTTCAGTTTGTCAAGTTACGTGCTACTGTTCAGTACTCCTCAGGTGCCCTACCTTGGGAGCAGAGGCCTGACTGTAACACAAATACCATTTTTTGCCATGCACTTCTGCCTCCCCTCCTTGCTTAGCCAGCACGGCCCAGCCCAAGATTACGAACAAAAGTTCCTCGCTTGCCGCTTTACATATCAAGTCGTGATCGCGCTATTGAAAGGGCTCAATCTTGCTAGACCGTGGGCGCATTTTCCGCACCCCCTGACAGGAGGCTTCCCTGTACGCCAACACCAGGGTCGGGCCGGCTGGCCTCTCCCCAGGTCCACAGCAAACACTAAATCTGGCACGCAAGCCCACGCAGCCCGGCCATGCTCTCACACATCGACGTCATGCGCGACCCCGCGCGCTACCAGCAAACAACATGGTGCCCCAGGAGATCTGGGACCAGGTGGAGCCCGATCCAGAGATGCTCGAGCTGGAGGAGGAGCGTACGATAATTCCAAGGCGGGCAGATACCAGTACCCGCAGCGGCAACGAAAATAGCGAGCGCATCGAGGGAAATTGGCCGGCAAATTTAGGACGCTAAAAGGCCTAGCAGGCTTAAAAATGTTCGCAAAAAGTACCGAAAGTACTACTTCGAGAACCGGCCGACCTGGGGACATTAAGCAGCAGCAGCAGGAAACGGCACCGATAACGAGGACGGCGGCATGGACATAGATGGCGTCAACGGCGACGTGGGCCCCGATCCAAAAATGCTCGAACTGGAGGAAAAGCGCACGATAACTCCAAGGCGGGCAGACACCAGTACCCGCAGCGGCAACGAGAACAGCGAGCGCATCGAGGGAGATTGGCCGGCGGATTCAGGACGCTGAAGGCCCAGCAGGCCCAAGGATGTCCGCAAGAAGTACCGAGAGTACTACTTTCGAGAACCGGCCGACCTGGGGACATTGAGCAGCAGCAGTAGGACGGCACCGATGACGAGGACGGCGGCATGGACACAGATGGCGTCGACGGCGACGTGGACGACGAACTTCAACGAGCCCGACCGACATCGACCTCGACATCCCGGAGCGCGCCGAGCTCGCAAGGCTAGTAGTGTGCAAGCAGCCAGAGGACTTGAGAGCGACGACGAGCTTCTGGAACGCCGTATCCAGTTTGGAGAGTGTGCATGGTGGCTCTCATGTCGAAGCGAGAGATGGTCCAGCGCGACATCATTGCCCAGGGGGGGGTCGGTGGAGATGGTGGGATGGTGGTGAAAGATTCTCCAGGATCGAGCATGAGCGTCGACAATGGGCGCCATCCCTGCCAAGAAGTGACCCCCTTCCCCTGCCGTATGGACAAGTTCCAGTGCCCAGGGTTGCATCGGCGACGGGCGGCTGTCCGACGACGAGCGAACCTTTGGCTACACCCGCACGTCCGAGCAGAAACAAGCACTTTGACAGCCAGCACCTGCCGGGCCTGACCGCGCCTGGCGTGTGCTCATCCCAAGTGCGCCGGGAGGATGGTCCACAAGTTCAGGAACATGGACGAGTACAGGGCCCACCAGCTGAGGGGTGCATCACATCGAGCTCCGGCCGGCCGGAGGGGGGGGGGCGGCCCGATCGCGAAAGTCCTCCTCTCCCGCTGTTGACAGGAGGAAGAGCGAGCAGCCCAGCCAGATTGTGTGTGGAGGCTTGACTTTGCCCCGGTCGCCCGAGCCGCCCGCGACTCTTCCCCCTCCTGCCGAGCCGTGCCACAACGGCGAGGACGTCTTCCAGGTGATGCAGGACGGCGCGCGGTGGAAGTGATGCACGCCGCGCCGACGATGGACTCGTCGCTGAGGGGTGATGGGCTCGACCCTGTCGACGTGAACCTTGTGGGTGTTCGTGCCATCTGGCTTTGTGGACTCATTCCAATGCTCACCTGGGCCAGGCCCTTCGGGTTCCTCCGGATCCTGGGCCCAGGACGTTCCAGCCCGTGGGGACAGGGTTCGTGACTCCCTCGACCATTTTGTCGTAGGGCAGGGGTTGCGGTGAGCTTCTCGCCCAAGTTCCAGACCACCTCCAGCTCGGACGTGCGCCTGGGGCCCCTCGCCCGGAGCCCTGGTGAAGTCGCCAACCTCGATGGCGATGAGGCCGGTCAGGTCGTGCTCGAAGAGGTACTTGGCCACGTCGCGGACGAACTGCTGGGGGATCTCACAGTCTTTTGAGGGGCGAAGGTTGCCCGCGGCGAACTCGAACGGAACCAAGGCCTTGTCCTCGACCTTGTACAAGGTGGCGTGGATCTTGTCCTGGCGAGAAGCTCGTCGGCGATGGGTGTGGCCCTGGTCCACTTCATGCCTTCCGACGCCGGTCGCGTCGGCCTCGAGGCGGATCGTCTTCTCGGGGACCAGGTCGTGGCGATGGAGAGAGAGTGAACACCAACGACGCCGCTCATGCCGTGGTCCTTGATGATGGCGAGCAGGGCCTGGATGTGGCCGGCGTGAGAACCCTGGAGCCTGACCTACGTCTCGATGGGGAGAAGGCCGTTGCACCTGTGCGAAACAAACACTTGGAGTCAGTGCGTGCTTTTGGAGTGTAACTGGCTGGCGGCTGTTTGCAGGTGATGGCTGCAACTCACATTTCGGAGGAGAGGACCAAGTCCTTTTCCGAAAAAGGGCGGCCTATGCCGGGGATGATGGCGGTGTCAAAGGCACCTTCCGTCAGCCAAGGATGGGCGGCGGCGGCGACAGCGGCGGCGGCCATGTTTTTGGTTATGAGTGGAGCGTGTGCTTGGTGGTGGATAAGTGAATCGAGTTAGGATCTGAGGGATGCATCTGCATGTGCGCGATTTTGAGCCCACCCCACCACCCCACCACCCTCTATACAGTATAACACCGCCTGTTGGTTTCTTGAATTGACTTAACCCTGGAGGTCTAGACCCGCACGGAGCCGCAGAGTGACTACGAACGACAGCACGGTCTCGCTCCGATTCGTTCTCCCTTTATCACAAGGGTTTGATCGAGTATGAGGCGGATGGGCCCTCCACCCACAACAACATGCACATGCACCTGCAAGGATGCAACCATCGGCTTATTTCGAATCAATTTTGTAAGCTACCTTGTCATCTATCCAAGTGGGTGATGTGGCAAGACATGCTGCACATTATCTGAGAACGACGGCACCGAGGAAACGCAAGTCCTCGCTGTTCTCTGTGGCCGGCCTTCCCCTCCAGAAGCCATTGGCCAGGAAGAGGCCAACCAGTCTTGCAACCTCGATGCGCTGCTTGTCCACGTCAGACACATTTCCCACATGGTGGTAGAACCTATCATAGAAATGATCTCGGAGCTCCTCGTGATTGTCGTGGTAGCGCCAAAAGTCCCCAGATGTGGTCCGGACCCCGAGCATGGTCTCGACCCCGCCTAGTGACAAGCCAAACGGACCAGCCACGGCGCCTCTCCAGCCGCAGACGCCAGACATCCTACCCGTGCTTTTGACCACGTGGATGTTGTTGTCGAGGAGATTGGTGTGATGAGGCGTGACCGGCCAGTCCTCGTCAAAGAGAATCGGGAGCTGGGAGATGATGGTGTCGAGCTTCGAGCGAAAGCGCCGAGGGAGCCCCTCGCGCAGCTGCCGGAGCTGCGACTTGTACTCGCTGAACAGCTGGTCGGCACCTGGGCGTGCCATGTCGGCGGGCGTGTTGTGATACGCCGAGGCGAAGAATCTGCCGCAGCCAGGTCAGTCGACCGCTTCTCTGCCGTGACAAGGAGAAAGGAGAGGGGGGAGGGTTGACAAGGAGAAAGGAGAGGGGCGAGGGTTGACATACCTTGCCAAGTCGTCCAAGGTGGATCGCAGGAGGTGGCAGCCATCCTTCTGCAGCTCGGTTCGAGCTAGGTACATGCAGTGTCCCCCCATATTGCTCATCGAATAGACGATGAGACTGCCAAAGCTACCGTGGTACGTGTGGCTTGGTACAAAGTCCCCATAGGCTTGTTTGATACTTGGGAGAAAACCCATATCCAGAGGGGAATTTGGAGCGCGGAATTGGACGACAACGTCCCCACCTTCAAGGGTGTAACTGGTGCCACCCTGGCTCGGCGTTGGGGTGACGGGCCTGCCAGCTAGCCGTCGGGCCTGCTCGTTGCATTGCTCTTTCGAGACAAAGGTGTTTTCCTTAAAAAACCTCCGAATCTGGTACTGAGACAAGGCGGAAATATCTCCCGACATTGCGTGGGTGATGTGAGGGCAGGCCGCGTGATGTTGTTGTCCGGGTACGAATGTTGTGTTGGGTGCTATCGAGAATGAAGCTTTAGATGAGGAGAGATTGTGCGAGGAAAAAGGTTAATGGGTAAGCATGAGAGGGCGGTGGCTGCCTGAGGCACATACGTACGAAACTCTGGATCAACGCGCCACGACTTTTACCTCTTCCTTTTCGCCCGTCGACGCATCGATCGCGAGCCGACACGTTGATTGCTTGGGATCCAGCCGGCAGCAGCTTCCTAGTGACTGGCAGCGGTCGGAGCCTTTCTCCGTTTCGTGCGCGGGCCAGAAAATGGGCAGTCGGCCTAAAAGGGGGCAGGCAGTTGTAACTCGAAGAGCGGGGTGGAGGTCAGCAGCGATAGGATACACTCCTTTGCTTGCTATGCATCTGTGTGAGGTCGGCTTCCAGACCGAGGTGGGCACTTGGTGGGCATTTCTCTTTTTGGCTACCACGGGCGTCCAGGTCTATCCATCGAGGTACTTATGTGCCCTAAGCCCCACCTCATACAGATCCCGCTACTTATATACAGGTGTCCAGGATCACAAACACTAGTGCGGTGGAGCAAGATACATTTTCTTCCTTGGAAAACCAAGCCAAACTGATGTACCACCAACATCCACCGCACTTGTGTTTGTGATCCTGGACACCTGTACTGTGCTCCTTATCGCCAGTGGGTCGCCACGA